CCAAAAAGTTACCACTCAATTTTAGAAACGGCGTTAAATCATCAAGATATTATGTCAGGTTACAGACACACACACATATATATATAGATAGATATATGCATCTGGTCTGACTACGGAGAGGTTAAACCATAACTAGTGTATCGTTAATATAGACAATTCTATGATTAATCATATGTGAGTTAAGTAAATCAAACGAAAATAAGTCAAAATATAAGTGTGTAATATAGATGTAAAATCGAAAAACTCAGATTAACTAGTACTTTTGGCCCCAGAACTATAGAAAAGTTAGTGTCGATTGAGTGAGGTGACTAGATCTATTAATGATGATTTGATAACCCTAGAGATAATTGGCTTAAGTTAATAAAAAAGGATAAAACTAACAATTCTTCATTCCAGACATGAAAGACATGGCGTTTTGGGCGGATGATGTGGTGGGCATATTCATCAGAGAAGTAAGCTGAACATGCCCACTTTCCGAGTGAGAGAGATCAGAATCTTCGCGAAATCGAGATCGAATAGTAGAGATATTTTCACGTTCATTCGTACCCCTGACCATAAGACCGGCGGGTATAGTAACTGAAGGTAAAATGATGCGAAGCGTTAGATGAAATAAATAGGCAGAGAAGATAATTATAAGATTCATGAGTAATGAGGATCTCTTTTACAATCGACATGTATCAAAGGAATAAATACAACCTTTGTGTGCCATTTGCAGATGACGACGGTATTCCCAGGCACGGCTGAATCTTCGTTCACAATGAGGACAGCCAAAAGCACGAATTCCTAAAAGAATAAGATTTTGGTTAAGTAGTTAAGAGGAAGTAAATCAAGATAAAGATGAAACATACTGTGATGCACAGTCATTACATGCCCGACAAGTTTATCGTGACGAGAAAACGGTCGAGAACAAGTAGCACATTGATACAATTTGATGCCTTTTAATGGCAAATAGGATTACAAAAGTACATACCATGATGAAGCTCGCTCAAGTGCCGTTTAACTTTGTCGCGTCGATTAAAGACTTTTAGACAGAGAGAACATTGAAACGCCTTCTTAGCTAGACGAGATATAAAAAGTTATAAACCTACATCCGGAGCCAGGTATTTCGCGAATGTCATTATCAAAATTTATACTCAACCGCTTATTTGGCGACTTAAGAAAGAATATTAATAAATTAAAATACCTCTTGTATGCGCGAAACCGAAGAAGAATCAAATACACAGCCGGTGCTTACACATAAATCCGCCGGTTCATATTTTATGTTTTGACTACTAAAGGTGCCAGGTTCCATGCCGATCGAGTGGTGGCCTAATTCGTTTATTTGAGTTATGGGGTTTAACTGAACGCCAGAATCATTGAAGTTAGATCTACTTTCATTAAACGCTAAAAATTGAAACGATATATTATTTTAACGAAAAGTACGACGATATAAGTACAATAAATAAGCGGTAACACAAACCAGATAAGGTGTTCGGATTATCAGAATTTATTCCTGAAATAACATCTTTGCAAGTGTTATCATTCACGACTAGAGAAAAATAGTAAAAATTATATAACCCACATTCTGAGACGGCCAGACCAAGTTTAACTAGTTTTAATAAGCGATTGGAGGCGACAGATCTGATGTTCGGTGCCAATATTTTCTGTAAACTGACTGCAATAAAGTCGTAGCCATCATGCACAAGTTGGCTAAAAAAAA